GTATTTAAAAGACGTGTAGATGGGGTGCTGAGTGACATGGTTTAGTGGTAACTTGGCAGTGCTAGGTTTACAGTTGGTCTTGATTATCTGAAACGTCTTTTCCAACCTAAATGATTCTATGATTCTGTATAGATCTGGAGCAGCCAGAGAGCTTGGAGGCAGAGGGCAGAAGCCAGTGGGGATTTTCTCCTGGGCCAGGGCTTTCCCCACTCCTGAGCAGGCAGAGGACAGGCTGCTGGCTGGGTGAGCGTGGCAGAGAGCTCGTGGGAAAAGAGGGGAGAGCAGGAGTGAGCCACACAGGCTGCAGGAAATCCCCCGGGATTTCAGCCAAACCGGATGACACAGCTTCATGGATAGGATGCTCTACTACAGGAAGTCACATGCAGAGAGAGAACGTCTTCCCCAGTGAGCCTGGATCAATCAGTGGCTGAAGCAAGAGGACAACCCACTAAATGAGGTAAATGGCATTTGGAAATGCTTCTTTCTTGAGGATTTACACTGATCGTCAGGCATTTTTACCTTCCCTCTTTAAGACGTTTGACTCAATCATGTCCATTGCAGCTGCAGAGCACCTTTAAATGACTTGGCCACGGCATGTAGCAAGTCAGCCAAGAACACAGCTGAACTCATAGACCTTCAGATGAAATCCCTAGACAGACTTCAGGCATCCCATGGTGCCACCTAACTCCAGCAACCTGAGCAAGGCTGCACAGCTTCAGTGATGGTCCTGTAGCAGTACTCATCCACAGTCACCCTTTATTTGGGCTTCACCCTGTCCTTTCCCAAAGCTGAAAGCTTTATATGGGTTATTTTGTACTCTAAGAGTACTGACTGCAAGATTGCTTGTGCCTCAACGTGCACAGTAAGGTCTGCAGATGTGGGACCCCCAGCACCCCAACTTCATCTTCCCCTGGCTGGGGGATGCTCCTGGGGAGCTCCAAGCATGCAAACCAGTGCTGATGGTTTTAGCGGGGTCAGGAGCTATCATCCATCCTGCAGACTGCTCTCTTGAGGTGCCTAAGATGCGCCATTGCCTTTCCAACCTGCAGCAGGTAGGTGGGTTGATATGCTGAAAAAAACCCTTGCTGCTCCCCTGCTTAGCTCAGAGCACTGACCGCAGCCTGTCCAGCGCTTCTGCAGGGTGATTTCATGGCGTTGCCCTGTCCTCAGGGTCTCCTCCTCCTCTCTGGTTCAGTGGGACCACTCACACTGCAACATTAGCGTCAACACCTCTTACCTAAGGTTTAGACTGCAAAGCAGAGCTGGTGCTCCAGCCCTCGGGGGGACACAGAGTTATCTGCAACAATCTAGACATTCTTTACCAAATCCAATGAAAGGTTAATTTAAAGCATAGTATGAGTAGATGCAAGTGGGGCAATTTTATTTGACGGGAGTACTGCTCATGCATGTGCTGAGTCATTTCCAAGGATTTTTTTGTTACAAAAATTTATTTGTGCCGTATTTTATTCCCAGCAGCTGTTCAGAGACAGCCCAGCGTGGGAGATGGAGGTCTCGCTCTCCAGCAGCCTCTCTGCCTGAGCTAAACGCGCTCCCCATGACAGTGCAGAATATCTGTTCGGTTTCAGGAAATCTAAATTCCTGTAGGTTTCTGGGATATCCTGATTCTGAAAACACCAATTTTAGCAAATTGGCTCCAGCCTGTCTTAAAGACATGTTTGAAATGTGTAATTTTAGCTTTGAAAGGAAGTATTTAGCTAAAGAGTCAGGAACATATTTCAGATGAAAGGTCTTGTTTCCTCCTCTATTGAAACGAGGCCAATAAAAGTTTGGGAGGAATTTTAAGGAAATTCAGTTAGATTCGCATGCCACCTGCTGCAGAAGAAGCTACATCAATTCTGTTTCTTCCCTTCTTAGCGCTGTTGTAGTAAATAGCAGAGAAAGTATGTACATATGAGGCTCACAGTGTCTGAATAACTACTCCCTCTTCAGCAATACAATCTTCATTTATTATGGCTGGATACCTTGCCTTATTGCAACAGGGCTGTTATCCACAAAAAGTTTCCCCTGCTATTCGAAGTCAGTTTGTGGCTGAAGTAAGAAATAAGAAAATAAGGAAAGAGGCACTTTAAGGACCTTTGCGTGACTCCAGAGGTTTTTCTGAAGTCAGAAGGATTGTGTTAAGATCCAGAACCATCATGACTCATATATTCCTAGTCAAAATGCTGGGTGCGTGAAAAGCCGTTCAGCTGTACGGAGACTGAACTATGTCTCCTGACAAGAGAAAAATAATATACACAAGAGGAAGCACTTAAATAATTGATGTGCTTTTCTTTTATCTGCATGTAGGAATGACAGGAAATCTATGTAGCTGGCACTAATGGATAGCATCGGTATGTCAATAACTGCTAATGAGAAAGAAATAGAAGTGCATTTGTCCTGAAGTGACTGATCTTTCTTTCTTTCTTTCTTATCTCCCTGTATTACAGTGGGAAATTAATAGTGTAAACTTTAGAATTCTGTTCACTAATAGATCATTTAGATAGCGATTGCTTTCAAGTACCTTTTTTGGTAGGAATTCAGTCCAAAATGACCGTACACTTGCTTACATTGAATCTGCAATCTGACATCTAGCATCCTTTTTTAATGTCTTCTGCGCTACGTTCAGACAACAAAACAAAACTTTGTTTGCATCACATGTTTAGTTTTCCATTCCACACCAGCGAAAGGGCACAGGCATGCTGAAACTGAACAGAAAACAGAGATTTTAAAACACCCAATCCTTTCACCCTGAAAAATTGCATAACCCTTCCCAACGTAGAAGCAGGACACTCTTTTACTGCAAAAAAGCTTCTTGTTGAAAAATTATTGGTAAATCCACCCATCCATATCCAGCTATTTAATTCAAAGATTGTATTCAGCCATTCTCTCCGAGCTGCCCGTCCGAGGGAACAATTACGCAGCTGTTCTTGCTACATTCTTGTGTAGGCTGAGAGCAGGCTAAAAAATTCTGGCATTAATTTACTGTAACTGCAAACGGCGCTTCTCCAGGTTGTTGGTGAGGTTGTTTGCAAAAGGGCGGGCGAAGGAACGCATACGCTTGACGTTACTATTGTGCTTTGGCTAAACCTATTTATAGCTGTGTGCGTGCGTACACACGGATGCACGCATACATCTGTAGGGTTTGGGTTATGAGCAGGGCTCTGGCTCTCAGCCACACCGCCGTGCTAATGATACCTGTCACTGCAACAACTTTTTTGCGGCTCTATTATCTGGCCGCGTTCAGAACCAAGGATTTAAAAGTGCAAAGCCAGCCTTACTGTGCTCCTCGGATTCAGCAAAGTGGTTTTTCTCTCTTTTAGAAAGTTGGATGCTGACTTTTTGCAGCCCTTTTTATGGATTATTTTTTTTTTTCCTACTAAAGTTTTAAAGTCTGGACCAGCTAGTAAAAGAGCAATAACTGCAAAGGGAATTACTCGATTTCAAAATGCCTTGGCATGAGAAGCAAGCTGCCAGCAACTGCTTCACTAAAATTGCTTAATAGCTGCGCAGGAGTCCCACCATGTCTATTTCCAGTGCTGTTTCTGTGTGTGTTTATATATGTGTATGTGCAGGTATACATCTATATGTACATGAAGCAGAAAACACTGCAAGGTCTGTGCAGTGGTGTCCCCTTGGCTGGAGCGGAGGCTTGTGGTCAAAGTGGGGCAGGGAGAGCCCTGCTGCTGGGGAGCTGGGCTAGAGAATGGTGGGGGGATGTGGGAGGATTATTGGGGGAACAGAGAGAAAGGAACCTTTCCTCTGCGTGTGCTGGCCCATTTCTGCTCCACATCCACATCTACACATCGCTTTATCTTTACTTTTCATTCCTGCCCCTAACAAACTGCTTCCTCCCCCCAGATCATGCATCTACGAATGCTTTTCTGGAGGAAACCTCCTCGGTCCTTTCCCCAGCTAAGGTAATTGAGATATCAGTAACTTCTGCACACAACATGCCGTGAGCACTCAATATCACTTTCATCATTAATATCAGATGCCAGCTAAATACTGCCACTGTCGCCCTGAAATATCCCACCCTCAACTCGGAGTGCTTAACAAGCAAACTGAGGTCAGGCCCCGAAAATCAAAGGCCTGAAAAAGGGAAGCTTTGCTGGTTAAAACGGAGCAGCCCTTCGAGAAGGGAAGCGGGAAATATTCCCCTCCATCTCTCCCCTCTTTAGGCAACAGCAGCGATGGCACAGGGGACTGCGCATGGTGCAGTTCGCTCTGCACCCTATACATAATTGATGCTTTTCCGCTCTGGTTTTCGGACTCGGGATTGTTTTTGTAAAATGGAAGCAGGGAGAGGGGGAAGAAAAAAAAAAAAGGCACTGCAGCAGCTTTTTCCTTCTCCAGCCCCACTTTTTAGCCCAGATCCTCATCTCTGACACACAGCCTTCCCAGGCCGGTGGAATAGGAGTGCTACGCACTATGTGTATGTATATATCTATATATACATATGTGAGAAGATAAATGCTTGCCATGGCAGAAGGAAAAAAGAAAAAAAAAAAAAAGGCACTGCAGCAGCTTTTTCCTTCTGCAGCCCCACTTTTTAGCCCAGATCCGCATCTCTGACACACAGCCTTCCCGGGCCGGTGGAATAGGAGTGCTACGCACTTTGTGTATGTATATATCTATATATACATATGTGAGAAGATAAATGCTTGCCATGGCAGAAGGAAAAAAGAAAAAAAAAAAAAGATATTTTCAGTGGTCCATCTCCTTATTAGTAAAATGCCTTGGCAGGGCATTACTCTAGCATTTCGACAAGAACTTCCTTTTCTGCAGACAGTCTAGTAGTGTTTACAGTTCCTATAGAAGTTAGAGAAAACCAGCTGAGAAACATGCTTCTTGCTGACGTGCTCTCCTGCTTGGTGAAGTTTGACATGTACAGCCCTAAGCGCTAGTAACGGACCCCTTTCCAGATATAGGCAAAACATGTAAGGCACTTATTTTGAAAATAAAGTACGCTTCTATTTCCTTTCAGCAAATAAACCCTTTGCATTACATTTATCTGCCCTTGCTGCCTCCGCTACCATCCGGGAGGGTTTATCAAGGCACGAACAGGACACATACACAGCGCGCTTGGTCCTGCAGGACCCATCCCCAGAAACTCTCCTTCCTGAGCTGGAGACGCATCGACACCACCATCTCTGCGGACACAGACACCCCAGACCATCCGCCTGAAATACCAAACCCTTCCTTCTGTCCAGCCCCTGTGCCTTTAGAGAAAATCCAGGCATCACCACCCACCCCCAGCCCACCACCACGGACTGGTAAGGAACCACGCGGGGGGTTTCTCCTCTCCCTGCGGCGGGTCCCTTCGAAAGCAAGCGGCTCCGCGTGTGACTTTGCAATCTGAGAATGTGAACTGGTCGGCAGGACGCACAGGGGGTAAATATAAATCTGGCGCTTACCCACAGGCAGTCCCTCGCAGTCTGACATCGTGAGAGAAGTCCTCCTCACCGGGGGCTTAAGGAAAACCACAGCAGGAAGGCGAGCACGGGTCCTTCTGCTTGCAAAGGCTGGGGGGGGGAAAAGGGAGGGGGGGGAATATCTAACAATTTACAGCCACCCTTCTCTTACACTGTACATCTACCCACCCAGAGAGCTGTAGCAACAGTCCCGTCCCTGCCTTCTCATTATGGGATGTAAAGATAAGAATGTGCTTTTGTGCCAAAAGAGTGTGCTATTGGTGGATAAATTTGTTGTCATCCCTCCCCTTCGCAGAGTTTCCTCTTTAATGTCACAGAGGCACATTACCCTGTCGGAAAGGCCATCGAATATTTATGAAACAGCTTTTAAGAGCTGAGCCACAGATCTGCGCCGGAGAGCGGGGCTGACTGCTGTGCGGTGGGGTTGGAGGTGGGAGCCCCACTGCCGGGGTGCTTCTGCTCCCCCCGGGGCAGGGGGGGGACCACGGGGGGGAGGTGGTGGGCTGGGGGGACACACTCTGACATCTTGCTCTGTGTCTTCTCCGTCTGCAGGTTAAATGAGCTTCTGAGCAGAAATACTCACGGCTGAAGAGGGGGCAGGAGCCGGGCTGTATCTGTTTAAGCGGGAAAGAAAAAAAAAACCTCAGATCTTCTGTTTGTACTGTAATATCTGAGAAATGGTTTCTGTGAGACTGTTCCTGAAGGCTGTTTCATGGTATATAATAGTATTGTCAGTGCAGATTTCTCTGTAACTTCATGACTTTTGCTTGCTTAAAATATGCTACTTTGATTCTGCCTTAGTGAAGCATTTTGTGGCTGCTCCTACAACTGACTTTTTATTAATCTTTGGAAATGTTTATGTGGGATTTGCTTGGCATGAGCTTTCCAGACCAGTCCAGTCAGTACAGAGCACCCTGCACATTGATGTTTTCATTAGGCACATTAATAAAGGGAAAGCAAATGCTCTGGCAGCGTTTGTGCCATGGGGGGTTTGGCACAGATGTGCAGGACATGGTGGGTGCCCTCACCACCCAGGGGGGGTGGTTTGCTGGCCCTTTTTCTCCCAAGAACAGTCAGGAACAGTCTGGGCTTTACCTGACACAGACCTTTAGTGCCTGAACCTTTAACAAATGTCAGGGTTTCAGACCCAGAACTGGTGCGAGGGCTGGGAGGAGAGGGAGGTGGGAGGGAGGGGACTCCATGGAGGAGCTCTGAGAAGCTCTTCCAGATCCGGTGGCCAGACACAACCCCTGGAGAAAACGAGCTGTCAGAACCCCAGGGGACATCTTTCTTCAAAATGCCTTGAAGCCTTCTTTTACATGAAGTACACTGGGAGCTCAGTGAAAAATTGGGGCTGGTTTTACCTACACGCCTCAGCCTGAGCAGCCCAGGGCTGACACTGAGGGCTCCACCAGCTTTATCCCTGAAGAAAAGCCTCTTAACACTCTGCCGGTTCCTCAGCGGCGTAGCCAGCCGTGGATTCAATTCAGGATGTCAGGCCAGTGACTAAGAAGCTAAAATAGCTGCAAATGTAGATAGTTACATGTTCCCGAAACCATCCCTCAAGTCGCCCGCGCCAGGTCGGGAGAGTGGGGCCGGGGGTGTCCCAGGGCTGCTGGGGTTTGCTGGCACCAAGATCTGTTGGCATCACTCTGTCAGGGACGGCCCCGGTCGGTGGCTGTCTCCAGGTCTGCTCGTGGAGCAGCACAGGGATATTCACCCCTGTGTAAGGTGTAAGGGTGACCTGGGTGGTGGCCCTGGGATGAAACAGGCTGTGCTCTTCTCCAAAGAGGCTGCACAAGAAGGACCATGCTTAGGCTCTCCATCCTGCTGCTACCCACGGTCTCCAGGAATGGTCTCTAGCTCTCCTAGAAGATAGGGAGATGTGGAGATGTCTGGTTTTAATCGCTGTATGCATCTGGGAAGGGAAGAAGGCCCAAACCTAGGACTTTTCTTCCAGTGCAGTTTCGCTGCAGAAACATATTGCCCCAATGTGTGTGAACTGAAGCTTTCTTAGCTCAACCCTGTGCAAACGCGGGCTCCCAGTTCTGCAAGAATTTACGTGCCATTTTAACTTCAAGCCCCGCTGAAGTTCCTGGAACTACTCACAGTTATGAAGTTAAACACATGCGTAAGTATTTGCAGGATGGAGGGCTCACCATTCCTACGTGTGTTCATGGGGCAAACAGCTGCGGCTGATTTTGAAGTTACCTCTCACAGCTGTGTGCTCCTCCACTGAAGGTCAGAGCCCTCCAGCAGAGCTGGACAAGTGCCTGCAGGGAAGGCACGCCAAATCACAGACTGGTGTCTTAGCTCTAACTCATCTTCAAGAGCAATTTAAGAAACCTATGTCTCAGTCACCCCCATTCTGTCACCCTTGGCCAAGTCTGCTACAGTCTGGAAGAGGGGCAGAGAAGCCAGCAGAGAAGGTTGAGGGGGAGGACAAAGACATCTTAAACTATTACAGCAAAGTTGGCAAGAGCTTGTCTGCCAGAGCCAATGTTAGGATTTGGCCTTGAGAGAGCTCTTCAGTGAAACATTAAAGCATGAAGCTATCCACGGGGTCAAAAGTTGAACAAATCAGACCTAATTCTTACAATGATACTCACAAACATGAGCTCTTCAGTGAAACATTAAAGCATGAAGTTATCCGCGGGGTCAAAAGTTGAACAAATCTTACAATGATACTCACAAACACCTTCCTTTGATGAAGACTACTCCAATTATAAGACTTTTTTTCTTTTCAGAGTAAAACTAAGTATTTCTTTTAACTTCCCCTGCTTCTCGGCCTGAAAAGAGCCATGTTTGCTCCTGGAGAAGGGCCAAGCCTGGAAAATTTAAGTGTGAAAGGAGAAAGTTTTGGAACTTTATGAATAAGCCTGGTGTCTGTCACGGCAAAAAATGTAAAAGCCAAACATTGAGCTAAACAATAAAAGGTGAGAAGTAAAGCACATATTATTTTAGGAGGTATTAAGCGAATGTGAGAAATGTGCTAAATATCTGTCAATAACTGCTCTCACTTGGGCTTTCCGAGAAACCTGAGGGATGCTTATCCCTCAAGACACAGTGAGAACTGGTTATGAATCTGTCTGCTTCATACTACTGCCAACAGACAGACCCCTGCACAAAATCCGTGACAAATACCATGAGTGGGATGGTAAATGTCACGTACGGCAGGAAGCCACTGGAGTATATCCTAAAGAAGGTTTGCTCGAACTCATTTGGTCTCCCGTGGAAGACAGTTCCCTTGCCCGGATGCATCTTGAAATACTTCAGCACTTGCTAGAATGGCCATGCCCCTCTCCGGAGCTTTCCAGGAAGAAATAAAAACATCTTGGTTTTTGTTTATGCCACAAATCCCCCAGGAAACCCACAGCCTGGACTGTGCAAAGAGCTTTTGAGATACCAAGAACCTGGAGCTCAGCTGATATGCCAGGGGAGAGTACAAATGTGGGGAAACCTGGGTGCAGGACACCTACAACAGTCACCTTAGGGCCCAAATACTGTCACCTACATGAGTAAGACACATTGTGGGACTTTGTTTCTGACACATCCGATTATGCTCCTGATCTAAGGCCTAAACACCTTGGAAAATCTGGTCTTTAAGATTCTAAATCCCATGGGGGGCTCATAATTTTCCCCACAACCTGAAGGACTCAGCCCTCTGACCCTGTGGAGAGCCAGATCCTCCCAAAAGCTCCCAGCTGGACTAGGGCTTTTGCTATTGCTGACTGGCCTTTCACTCAGCCACGGATGGAGCCAGTCTCATCCAAACCTCACAGGAAAAGCAGGGACCTGTGCTTCCCACCATAGGATCCCAGGCCCTGCCAGATGCTGGCTGCCCGCTGACATGACTGGTGGAAGGGCTTTGCTAAGCTTGTCACTGTTGTAGGAGCACGGATGAATTGTTTTCCTTCCCTCTGCCTTTCTCTCTCCTGGCGGAGGGAAATCAGGAGAAGGGAGAATGATTTCTTTAGCTGCTCAAGTCAGATCTGATGATTAAATCTGCAATTTTCCGTGAGATTGAAGCAAGCGCCTTACTGCCCGCTTTGGCAGGCGTTTATATCTCCCATCAGCACCATTGCCATGCAGTTTAAATAGAGAATGGCTGAAATGTGCTTTTCCCGTCTAATTTATGCAAATTCCCTTGGGTTTTTTCCTGCCGTGTAAAGACATCTCTGCCTGTTGGGTATGGGAGGATTCACAGCCTGGGCAGGGGGAGGGGAGGGCTAGGGGGGGGCTAGAAGAGAAACTGCAGGCTGATATAAGCAGGTTGGCATCAGAGCATGGATGACCTTCTCTCAGAGCACAGAAGAGCCCAAAACACAGTCCTGCAGGCTGGGACAGTCCCGGAGCACAACCCGTGCTTGGAGGTGTGAAACGTTCCCACCAGCACAGACAGACAAGCTGAATAAATTCAGAAGTTGCTTTAAGTATTTTGCTCCTGGTGCTGCTTTTCCCCAGGAATTGTGGCTAGGAGGTTGTTAGCAAAGACCGGTTGTCCCCCACTGGAAAGCCCTGTGGCTAGAGGGGAGAGCATGGACCTTTCTGTCCTCTAGTGGAAGAGGTAAAATTAGTTGTATTGCACCCAGATAAGGTCAGCGGAGGCCATGAAGATGATCAGAGGCTGGAGCACCTCTGCTGTGAGGGCAGGCTGAGAGAGTTGGTATTGGCCTGCAGAAGAGAAGGCTCCGGGGAGACCTTATAGTCCTTCCAGTACTTAAAGTGGACCTATAGGAAAGATGGGGAGGGACTTTTTACAAGGGCATGTAGTGATAGGAGGAGGGGTAACGGCTTTAGAATGGAAGAGCGTAGATTTAAATTAGATATTAGGAAGAAATTCTTTACTCTGAGGATGGTGAGACACTGGAACAGGTTCTCCACAGAAGGTGTGGATGCTCCATTCCTGGAGGTGTTCAAGGCCAGGCTGGATGGAGCTTTGAGCAACCTGGTCTGGTGGGAGGTGTCCCTGCCCATGGCAGGGGGGTTGGAAATCGATGATCTTTAAGGGCCCTTCCAACCTAAACCAATCGGTGATTCTATAATAAAGTGTAGAGATGCAAAAGGGGACGTGCTGCCGGCCCCACACCTCCTGAGTCACTGGCGGGGCCTCAGTGTCATCCTGACCAAACCTATGGGATCAGCAGGGTCTGTGGGAGGCTGTGCCACATGCACACATGGCAGAGAAATGACTCCAGAGCTGCTGGTCAGACGGGCCTGAAACTCTGCAGGGTGATTAGCAGTTTCCTCAGGTTGCCTGGAAGAAAGCAACCAGGCTTGGACTAGAAGTCAAGAGCCCAACAAGTCCCAATAATTGGGATTTTATTTCATTGTTGTTTTCTGACACATTCTGTTCACATTTCAACTTGATGGACACAGAGTGTAATAACGCAATCACAAGAGAAGCTGATGCACTGACAGGATCTCAGGCGGGTGCATCCAGGGAAGAGAAAGCAAGTGAAAAAAAGCAAGATACAGCTGGCAGCTAAAATAGTCCTCTAGGAAACAACAAATACAAGAGTAATAGCAACACCCCAAAATAACTAGGTATATAATAATTTTGCATTAATCTGTATTTTTTTAAATTTTATTAACAAGACTTTCACCAGTCACAATTGAATCTGAGCTTCGTGTTCAAGAAAGGAAACATCTCCATCGTCTCCTCTGATGTCACCCCAGAGAGAAGATTAGAAGATTATCTATGTCAGGTGACACCAGTCCAACGGTAGGGAAAATAATTTTGCACATTCAAAGAGAAAACGGGGAAGAAATTCCAGCTATCTCCAAGAA